AGAATTATTATGGAATTTGATGGATATTTATTTAGTTGGGTATGAAAAAAAAATTGATATTCACAATAAGAATATTTTATTGAAATTTATTTATTTTTTTTTTTTTCTATAGCTTGTCAATGATCATACATTTAATGAAGGTGGTGCATCACAATTTCTTTTTGATATTAATCAAGGATGGACTCGTATTGCCAATGATCATGTGTCACTATTATTTAATAAGTAAGAGAAATACTTTTTTTTTTTTGGTCATAGTTGAATAGAACTCGTCAAGTGACTTATTAAGACAATGTTTTTGTAGTGAAAAATTAAGTTGAAACAAAAAAACTCAAAATTGAAATACACCAAAATCATCAAGTCTCTGAAATTCTTATACCAAGACTTGATACTTTTGACATATGTCAAGATCTAAATTTTTGAAAGAGAATATTCATTGAGTTTTGTTTTTTGGATTATTCTATTTATTTTTCTGTATACAAATTTTTGTTACTAATAAATTATGTTTTTGATTTTCTTTTGTAGATGTCGTGAATCTGCTTTACTTCTTACAATGCCAATCGGTTCTGCTCTTTTATTAGTTGATGCTTTACAACAAGAATTATCTATGACATCTTTATCAAATGTCTCGTCTAAAGAATCTATAATATCATCTCCATTACCTTCTGCTTTACATGAAATGGGTATTCATCATTTAAGTGAATTCGAAGCTGATCAAATACTTCAACGTCGACTTGATTTAACTAATTGTTAAACAGTTTAAATTTCTCTTTTCTTTTTTTCTTTTGTTTTTCCTAATTTCTCTTTTCTTTATATTTATGCAATAAAACGAGATACTAGTCAAACAATATGAATTAAATCTACACAATGTTTGCCTGAATTAGCAATAGCTAATGTATGAGTAGTTGGTTCATAATCAAGTCCTTGTGGTCCATAGAGCATATCGGATGTTGACAGTTCAATAATACGTATAAATGAACCTTGACGATCAAATACTTGAATTCGATTATTACCCCAATCTGATATAAATATATAACCTCGTTCATAATCAATAGCTAAACCAGTTGGAGCTTGAAATAAACCATTTTTCGTTCCCGCTGAACCAAAACTTGTTACGAATTGTCCATGACGTTCAATATCAAATATTTTTACACAATTATTATAAAAATCCGTTACAATTATATTTCGATCATTATCTGGTTCAGTAAATTTAACATAATGTGGACCAGCAAGTTCATGAAGTTCAGATCCACGTGTACCAAAACGATGTAAAAATAAACCTGATGAATCAAATAAACATATACAATTTGCTTTATTATCAGCTACAACAATTCGTTGCGATTGATTTGATATACAAAGTCCTTTTGGACCTAATAGGGAGTGTTGACCGAATTTTTTCAATAATTTTCCATTTTCATTTTCATCAATATTCCAAGTACTAATCCAATGTTGATCATAATCGGCTACAAAACATATTGAACTATTGTTCGATGTATTTGATAAACCAATAGGACGACGAAGTGTTACTGTTTTTGAATTTGTTGGTGACAAAAATCTACCCGTACAAACACCGGTATCTAATGAAAATAGTTGTACATTCTGATTGATTGTATCCGAAACAAGAAGTGTTCGAGTAGGATTTGTTATAATTAATACATCTTGTGGATTATTAAATTGTCCTTTTTGTCGTCCATGTTTTCCAATTATTCGATAATGATCATTATTATTATTATTAATATTATTATTATTATTATTTTCAATTTTTGACGTAGTTTGGATTGTTGTTTTTTTCATAGGTTGTTGGTGTAATGTAGAAATACTATTGAAAAAATGAATTATGAAATATATTTTCGTTGTTCTTCGTTTTTTTTTCTTGATTTACCTGCGAGTGACGTATGGTATCGATGTCGATTTAGTCACTATTTAGTATTAAAAAAAAAAAAAAACATAGAAAAAGGTAAAAGAGAGTGATGAAGTGCTAAAAGTGTATACACTGACTCACAACATCGAACGTCATCGAGAGATTTTGATATTGTTAAACGACCAAAATGATTAATATTTTCTTCCAATTGTTTTTGTTTAATTGGACAAAACATAAGTGCAAAATCTCCTGAAGAAAAATAAAATTTTGTTTTTATTTTACATTTAAACTTACTATTTTTTGGCGTACGAATCATTGAATTTGAATGAATATTTACTTGTCGGATTAATTGTTGAAAACGTTGATCAAGTCGTGCATGCATTTGTTCAAATATTTCTTCCATTTCATAAATAATATTCGTATTTTTAAGTGTCATTTTAACTAAATAACAAAATATATGCTGTTTCCCTTCTTATTTTTTTTTAATATTAATCAAATCTAATCGAGTGAGAAATGCACCATCTGACTTATTATTTTTTTGTTATTATTTGTAATAAATATATATTTTTTTCTTCTTCATGAAAAGAAGAAAAGAAAAATTAGGCACAATATTCCATTAACTTTTTTTCGTGATATTCTGGGTGTCAGATGGTTCACTATTATATCAATCTTGTCATTATGAACAATGACAATTGCATGACTTTATATGATCATTGAAATATAATTATAAATTTCTTTTGCGTCAAAATATTATCATCTAATTTGGATGTTAAGAGTATGATCATGACTTAAATCAATGATTAGTTTTGATAATGATGTAATACTTAAGGGTACCCCTCCCCCCCCATCTTTTTTGACTCAAAACTCGATTTTGAGCTGAGCCCAAGATATGATAGCCTTAGGTGCCATGTGCAGCTAGAGACATTATTCGACTCGAAATGTCTTACTTTTACCTATTTATTAGATCGAGAAAATTTTTTTTTTCATAGTAATCGTATGTAAATTTATTTCTTTTATTTAGCGTTCTGTAAAACAGCGATTTTCTAGATCTTGACACATTACGACCCCCTTTTTAGTTTGTCCGATCGAGCTAAAAATTTCACGACTAATACTTCGAAGTATTCTCCAGAGGTAAAATCAAGCGTTTTCATTTTTGACGTTCCTGCTCGGAGTTACCGGGTCGTGAAAGTCAAGATCTGAAGCACAAACTCAAATCTGGGCGTATTTTTCTTATAAAAAAAAAAGAAAGTGAGATTTTTGGAAATCCTTAAATTTACCTCTGGGGAATAGTGTTAGGTATATATAAACAAAATTTCAGCCCAATCGGGCAAACTTTAAGGGGGGTCGTAATGTGTCAAGATGCGAACCTCTGGAAAACCAGAGTTTTCCGAAAAATCCCATAAAAAGTTATTTAAAATTTTTTTTCCTCGGACACATATCTCTTTATTTTTAGTGCTCTATCTGTGCTAAAAATTTCAGCTTGATCGGTTGTACCATCTTCGAGAACCAGCAAGTGTCAAAAAAGAGGGGAGGGGGTACCCTTAAAGAGTATTGTTTTGTTAGAAAACGTTGTTCTCTTTTTCAGACCGTAGGATTTATATTTGGTTATATATCTATATATAAAATAATGCAAGAAAAAATAAAATATGCACGCATTCGCGCCATAAGTTTGTGTTTGTTATATGATGTTTTTTAGAAGGATGTTATAAAACGATAGTCAATTCGATATTTGTCAACACATCAAAATGATCGTATAAATGTCATCTTAGAAAATCTTTTAAATACATTTGCATAAAAATGATGAATTTATTACGTGAGAGTTTTTCTTCGTAGTGCTTTTTTTTTCTTTTTCTTTTACATTAGTCTATTTAATAAGGCGTAACACATATAGATTTTATGTATCTTTAATGAGAACAAAATTTTCTCTTGATTGATACAAAAAACAAAAAACGTGTTTTTCTTTTCTAATATGTATTTACAAAGACGTATAAGGTTTGACATTTTGTACCATTACTTTTATATCGTATACTACAATCAATATATAAAGCAAGACACTATCAATCATATTAATAAGTGTAACAGATTCTCACTATTTTCAAAAAGAAAGGTTTGTTGATGAAGTATTTCCTATCATTCTACACTGATTTTTGGCAAGTATCCTATTCTATTATTGAAATTAAACGATAGAATTTATATTCATTTATATCATAAAAAAGAAGAGACGAATTCTAAAAGAAATTATTCAATTATACACAGAGGACAGTTTCATATCAACTAATTAAGTAGGTTCCAATCATTCTTGTTTCTTTCAAATGAATAGGATCTAATGAATAATTCTTTTTTTTTTCTTATGAGCTTATGTCACAGAACATGTCATTTTATCATATCCATTATATTTGTGATTACTTCATTACGATCCATATAACAAAACTACACAGGTGTACTGAAATGTAGCTATCAAAAACTTCATGCTCGGATAAAATTAGATATTGAATAATCCAGCAGATATTAAAAATTCTGATAAGTAAATTTTTTGATTTGATTCTTGCAATTCATTGAGATGGAAATTGTCATACATCTATCTTCTTATCGAAACTTTTTGATAGTAGGAGCGATTTGATAAATTCATAATACAATGAAAAATTGAATAAATACTATTCTTTTGATTGAACTTTTCAAATAAATTGCGTATGTTAATACAATGTAGTCATATAAATAAATATTTAGACACGATTTTGTACGGCTGTTTCATTTGCAACAGTTTAACTTGACATGGAATGATATTTTCTTCAGATTATTATCATAAGAGATGTATGACTCATTTCGTTTTTACGTTTGTTTTTTCTTTATATTTTGATGCAGTATAATAATTACTATCGCCACATTCACTTGACTCTGTTTTTTTTAATGCACTCTTTCTTTTTAGTACACCTTTCAGAGAGGAAAAACATTATATTCATTTTCATTTAACAACATTCGTTATCAATATCGTATATATCTTTTCTTCATTTCTATTTCATAGGCAGGCTATACCATAGATCATATATAATTTCAATTGATATCATAAACTTTCAATAGTCAATTCATATATATATATATATATTGTTACATTGAATACAATCATAAAGATAATACAATACCAATGGAGGAGGAAAAACTTTGTGCAAAATGTAAAAAAGCTGGATCTGCTGCAAAATGTTATGGATGTCAACAATCATATTGTATTCCACATTTTGTAAAACATCGATTATATCTTGCTAAAAAAATGGATATTATTCATGACATACATGAAAATTTACAAAAATATGTCAATGACAAGGATTTTGAACAATCATTTATATCGAGTATTTATGCTTGGGAACGAAATGCAATGATAAAAATTCAAAAAATTGCTGAAGAAGCTCGTAGTGATATTCAAAAATTTGTGGAAAAAAGAAAGAATGAAGTTGATATTTCATTAAATAAAATATTTTCGGAAATTGAAACAACTGGAAAATCAGATAATTATACAGAAATTGAAATTGATAAATGGACTAAACAATTATCTGAACTTCGAAATTCACTCGAAAAACTAACGAAGAATATTTCTATTGTCGAAAATAAAAAAGTTTCTTCAATAATTTGTGGAATTAAAGTTATTGAACAACAACAACAACAGCAAGAACAATCACTATGTTCAACTGTCATACTACAAACAAATAATCATACATCAGAAAATTTAATCGAATCTGGTCAAGAACATTTTGTACCAATATATGGACCATGTAGATTATCCGAAGATAAATCTCTTGTTATACATTCAAGTTATCGTGCTGGATTATCACAAATTAGTGGTTTTAATAATTATTCATTGGGAAAACATTCAATTGTATTTTTAATTGAAAAAAAAGGAATAAAAAATATTTTTTTTGGTATACATTCAGCATCAATAGATATTTCTTCTTCTGAATTTGATCGTTCTATTTATGGATGGTGGAATCTTGATTATGTTATTGTGAATGGTGATAATGTTGATGGTAATAATAAAGAAGAAATAATTCAAACAGGTGATAAAATAACATTAATTCTCGATTGTGATAATCAACAAATACAATTTGAACATCATCGAATTAAAAAACTTGTTCATTTACCTATATTACTTAGTGAATGCCCATTTCCTTGGAAAATACTTATTCGATTGATTAATTCAGGTGATTGTATTCGCATTCTAAGATAACTATATAATAAGTAATTTTATTATTTATTCTTTTTTTTTTTTTTTAATAAAAATACATTTACAAAAAAGTAATAAATAAATGCAATTGTATCAGATAGAAATTACCGAAAAAATTTTAAACATTAAAAATAAAATAGTCATGTAAAAACAATTGAATTATCAAGAATTTATAAGCTAACTGATTACGAATATGAAAGTTAACAATTACATATCAACATAACCAGTTATCAATTATCTACGTATAGAAAAAGTTGGAACTTAATAAAAGTGAAGAAAGTTGAGTCTACCATTTAAAAGAAGAACGATTGATAGTATTGCAAGAAAAATCAATTTCGAGATTTATAAATATTCCGATAGCCCTTACAATGGGCTTTAAGCTGATATAATTTCTTTTGTTAAAAGCTAAAAGTTGGGTTTTTTCGGAGGAGTTCTTTTAAGACATTTTCTAGTTGAGGAATATGAACTTGCATTGTATGGCAACTTTTGTAGCTTTATTGCACGAAGGTTAATTTTTATAAAGATTTCGATGATGTTGATTGAACTCATAGAGCATATTTGAGGTTTGGACTATGAGTCTAATAAATTATCTTTGATTTGTTGATATACAGGTTAGATATCATTCGATATTTCTTCAACTTTACTTTCTAATGCTTTACGAGAACATTCATTTTGCATTTAATTCCAACATTATTGAAAACTTTAGATAAAAAAAAAGGAATTTTAATTGTTTATTCCATTATATGTTCAATTTATGATTTGTGAACATAAGATTCATACTATAATCATCATTGAGAAGATAGTTGAAAGAGTATACTCTTACATTCATCCAGTCTGAATGATAAATAATTTTTATTCTTTCAAGCAAAAACTTTAAACAAAATGCTTCTACTACTGTAATCTTTGGCATGCTTTGAATAAATAAGGCAATAGATCAATTGACAATGGCGACGCCATTCATTACATCGGGAGTAGAGAAAAAGAAAAAGAATTTAGTTATAAAAATTTTTGTTCTGTCCGTAACTAAGTGATGCTAAGAGACATGAATGGCAGATTGTTAAAATAAAACAAAAAGAAGAAGAAAAGAAATATTCTACATTCAATGATCTTTGCTTCACGCTAAAAATGAATCGAACGAATTCTGGACGTCGTCCTCCACCAGATCCAAATTCAATTGAAGCTAAATATTTGTCAACTAGTGTAGGCAAGTATTAAATTTTTTATTTTTCCTAAATTCTATTTTCTTTTTTTTAATAATTTTGTAAATATAGGACCAGCATTAATTCGTGGTTTAGCCGAAATTGTTGAACGTCGTCCAAATGATCCTATTGAATATTTAGCTACATTTCTTCATAAACAAGTTGAAAATACACGAGCACAAAAAAAAGTAAAAATTTGATATTTTATTTCATTTTTTTTTCATCTCTTTAACACAGAAAGAAGAAGAAGCAGAACAATTAGAAATTGAACAACAACAAGCTGAAGAAGAAAAACAACATCGTGCTCAACTTAAAAATGAAATTCGAACTTTACGTGAACAAGAAGAAAATGAACGAAAACAACGTGAGGCAGAAGAAAAACGTAAACGAGATGCAGAAGAATTAGCTAAACGGTAAACAAAAAGAATATTATTTCATATATTAAAATACATAATATTAATCTTGTCTGTAGACATAAAGAATTAGCAACCGCACCACCATCATTACCTGCTGTACGTGAAGAAGATGATGTATTTGTTGTTGAATTTGGTGAAACAGAACTTCATCGACGAGCTGCTGTTCAGAGTTAATACGAAAAAAAAAAACTTTCATTTAAATGAAAAATAAAAACATTGATGTTTTTTTTTTGAAATATACTTTAGATGCTAATCTTTCGGAATTACTTCAAGATAATTATCATTCAATTGCATCACGTAATGCTGAAGGAAAAACACCAAGAGATGTTGCTGTTGATGCTGGTCTTCAAGATAATGTTGATCAAATTGGTTTGTATCATTTTTCTTTTCATATAAATAAATAGATATGAAAATTTCTTTTTTGTATTTAGATACTTTTTGTGTTCAATTACTTCAAAATGGAAATACAAAAGCAATTAATGATCTAGTTTTATGTGGTTATACAGAAATACTTAATCAATTAAAAACAATTGAAGATACTGATGAAGATACAAATGATTTTATTAATAATGAAGTTCCTCAATTATTAGTAATGAATATATATATATAAATTTATTAACGTTTTCTTTCTTTTTGTTTTGTGAAACATGATCTAAAAGGACTACTGAAATATGTAGAGTAGAAATTTGCATCCTGTCAACAGACTATGACAGGAAGAAGGAAGAATACTCCTATCTTGTGGTACAAGGTGCTGCCTACCATCACATTCAGTAGCCCGATATCTTTCCTTCAACTGATTTTAGCTGTAGCTTTGAACAGAAGGCCAGTCTGACATAGAGTTCTTGCACTTTATTGCTTGAACTTCCCCATACATACTAACTAATTACACTCTACTCACAAGAGCAGATATATGTCACAACGTAATCAGCATGCTACCAGACGAATCATTCGATGGCTGTTGGTGCTGAGGTTTGAACATAGTACCTTGTGAATATGTGTCGAACAATGTAGTTACTTGGCCATGGCATCTGACCTTGACAGACACTAGCCAGAGACCATAAGCCTTGTTGATATACGATCAAAGACCGTATATCAATAACGTCTCATTATAAAATATGAACTGCTACCTTATTCAATTGCTAGAGGATTAGGTAAAATGAGAGTGAAGAAATGTAGACAGAATAAAACAATCTCCCTGTGATTAACAACAACAGTTAGAATATGTTTCACATTTTAATCCCACAGAGATTGCACTAACAACCTTTTCTTTTGTTTTATTTTAGGAAAAAATCAAACAATTACATCAAGCAATTAAAGATGGAGATACAGAAACAGTTGATACAATGGTATCTGATCGTAAAAATATTGCACTTTATCGAGATGCTGAAGGTTCATCATCATTACATGATGCTATTGAAAATCGTCAATATAATATAGCATTAAATCTTTTACAAAAATATCCATCATTAGCACTTATTAAAGATATTGTAAGTAGAAGATAAAAATATTGATTAATATGAAATAAATTTATTTGAAATTTTTAGCGTGATCGAACAAGTCTTGATTTACTTAATTCAATTGATGAAGATACAATAACAGATGATCAACGTGATATATATGATCAACTTAAAGAAACATTAATATCAACATCAGCAGGTCAACAAATGGATTAAGAAGAACTATGTTTATTTATTTCATGAATTTTTTCCTTCTTCTTCTTTTTTTTTTCTTTTCACATTAAAAAAAAAACAACCTTGTATCTGAATTGACACAGACATGATGAGCAAAAGCTCATGCAAGTATATAGAAAAAAATGAACAAAAACACAAACAAAGAGATTACATAGATTTAATTGCCTGTTAGTTTTGGTACGAATATAAAAGCAAGTAGACCACCAAGTACAATTGCAGATATTGAGGCAATTATTACAACCATACAATATTCTAAAATAAATAAACAAGAATTCGGTTTTTTTTTAAGATTAATATCGTAGTGAATAAAAAGAAATAATAGGTCTCATTCTTAATATCTGTTAAGCTATCATGACGGATGGACTAGAACAGTCAAATATATAAAATGGCTTAGTAGACATGAAAATATATTAGGAAAGTTTTTCAAAATATGCAAATCCAACATATCGTAATCAATTATTAAACAAGAGAAATAATTAGAAGTGTACCATTGTACACATCTGTAGGCAAGCTTTTCTAAATTTATTACTTTTTGTTTGTTCTAATAAGAATTTATCATCAATTGAATCTGATAACGTAGCTAAATATCTATTTCGATACTTAAAACATCAATCCTTCAAAGAAATTTCATCATATACACTTGTGAAAAAGGTATCTAACCACTGAAGATAATATATAACTCTTCTCAGGAAGGTAAAGGAGAAATGAAATAGATTATCGGATTGTTTTTGTGTAATAAATATGAACAATATGAATAACCATGTAAATACGAGCAGTGCACAATATTGAAAAAGAGTTCTTCTCAATATTGTAGATATAGACATGAATTGACTATTGCAACTCTCTGTCAAATCTTAATCATTGGATTCCAACCAAATTTAGAGATTAGCCAAGATATTAGAATTCTTTTATCCAACTTATTTTTTTGTCTTCTAGTGAAATTTCAAATGTAGGATATTCGATTGCACATGCTGACCGTAGGAGTTCGGTTTTATCGAGATTTGTTAATTGAATAGAAAGAGTCGAATAAAACGAATCAAAGAATGATTTTAATCTATAATCTAAATATAGACATTTATTCCTCTTGCTACAATCGCTGATAAATCATTAGCGAACATAAAACTTGAATAAAAATTTAAGAAATTTGTCAAATCAAAATGATAAGTAATAAATAGAGTAAGCATAAATATTGATCTTTGGAAAATCTCCTGCTGATGAAATAGAAAAACCATCTAGATTCTATTCCGTTAATTTCAATAAAAATTCTTCGATTTATAAGTCAATCTTCTATCCATTTAAGCTAATTTATCTATTGGAAAATAGATATTAACAAAGAATGAATGATTCATCAAAGCAATTTAGTTTTACAGAATATCTTTGAAATCTTTTTCTTGACAATTTTGATCTCTCATCATTATCTTTTACGAAGAAAAAAAGCATAAATTTATCGTTATGCTTCTGAATGGTAATTTACTTTTCGTTCAATATATAATTTTTGATAATTAATAAACAAGATTACTATTAATCTCATAATCTCTATAAGCAACAGTTCCAATAGTATTCGATATATTCAAAAAATTAGTAATCAACTAATAGTGACAGATCTACATAGATTTAAAAATAATTATTTTCCATTACAGTGAAGTGCAGTTCAATCTACGAACGAAAGCTCATCGAAAATAAGATTGAGCAGCATA